CGTTGCTGGGCGCCACCACCGTGCAAGGAGCTGAGGCGAGCACCGCCACCTCGGGAGGTTCTGCAGCATGGGCCGCCACCTCTGGAGGAGCTACAGCGGGCGCCATTGCTTCGGGGAACATGGCAGCGTGCGCCTCTACCTCGGAAGGATCTGCAGCATCAGCCGCCACCTCGGGAGACATCGTAGTGGCCGCCGCCGTCTCTAAAGCTTCAGTGGTGGTGTACGCAGCACAAATACACCACAAAGCGATCCCCATTGTGGGAAGCGCTACAGACAGGAGAAACAGTTCAGGAACTGGAGGGCTTAAGAGCGCTGGTTTAGGGATACCAGCTGCACTTGCCGACACCAGCGGTGGGTCCTCCACGCTGGATGCCAGTCTGGGATACTGAAGTACAGTCCTTGAGAATCTGGGTGCAACAGGCAGGACATGACAGGACTCTGGATGATCAGCTGTGATGTGACAGGACTCTGGATGATCAGCTGTGATGTGACATGGATGATGGGATATGTAGTCCGGGATGACATGCAACAGTTTGTGTAGTGCGAGAGTCAATGTAATGGAAGGGTGACCTCTGGTGGTGATTGAACGGAAGTCCATGGACAGGATTCGTGACAACTCACACATTCACTATAGTTCATCAGGGACAAACAGTTATGTAAATCATAATTTACATAACTGTTATTGCATCACATTAACTCCTTAGAAGGAGACTCTCACCTAAAAGGAGTTATATTCAGGTACTAGTCAATTATGAGAGAAGATTGAGCACTCAAATCTATACAGTTTCAAATATTTAGTGTCACTGCAATAACTGGCTAAATTCTGTTCAGGTTGCTGAATGTCCCTCATTTGTTGTGTCTCTCTGTTCTTTAGCAGTTGCTTTTTGTTCTCTGTGCTTGTGTCGTGAGCAAAAACTACTAAGATTTAAAAAAAAAAAGGATTTATCAGTTGCTAAGTAGAATCTGAACTGGAACCAGAATCACTTAACTGCTTATGATCATACATTTGGATGCTCACAGTGGATGTTTTATATTGAGTGCAGGTGCTTATTATAGATCCCAGCAGAAAACTAGAGCAACTCCTATCAGAGCTGCGTCTTACATTACAAACCTTTGGGTCGAATGAGCTGACCTCTCTCTTTCTCGGTGTGTGTTTAGTGAAATTGCCTCTGTCCTTGACAAAGGCCTGGATCTAAGTGGAAGCACAGCAGTCTCTCAATCAGAAACATCTCAGATGGCTTATATGACTCCTCTCATCTGATCTCTGCCTCTTTGAAAGAGTTTGCTCTCACCTGTGTTCCTCTTCATGTTAAGGATGCTGTCACCATCTGTACACTGGGCATCGGCACAGCTTTCGGGGAGTCTATTCTGGACAACACGCCTCGGCATGCCACCATTGTCACCCGAGAGTTCTGTGAACTACTGCGGATTGAGCAGAAGGACTTTAGGACCCTGTGGGAGGTATGATATTTCTTTTAAGAATATACTGAGAATATACCAATGACACCTATATGAATAATCATGTTTGAATCATGTTTGAAGTTTTAAGCACAGTATCTGCTTTGTGAGTTTATTGTGTAAATTAGGCAATTGGAACCTTGAATTATGACGAAATAAACTAGAATTATTAATACTGTCAGATTACAACCCTTATGAAAAGAAGTACACTTCAGCATACTTTTGAAAAGAGTACACTTACTCTTGGATTACACTTTATTACACTTTAAAAGAATATACTTAAGTGCTTATATTACTATACTTAAGTGCTTAACTTATATTAAATGCCATTATATATATATAAATAAATAAATAAATCTATCCCTGAAATGTGTAGAATTGTAGTCTGTTTGTTTTTGTTTCTTTCTTTTTTTTATTCTGTATTTCCTCCTGTTTTTGACGATTTTTCAGGTGGTGAAGCTTAAACAGATAGAACACACATTAAACGAGAAGAAAATATTACAAGCAGTGTCCTTTCCTTTCCTTGTGAAGCTGGAGTTCGCTTTTAAGGTACACATTCAATTTATATTGAAAAGAAATACAGTGTCGGAGGGTGTGCTTCTAGGATGTAGCATCATTGTCAGGGTTAAAGCTACTGAAAAAATTCAGCGTTATTACATGAAAAACAGGAACTAATTGTATTACATAGCTTTATGATGTTTTCATTTTTAATTACCGTAACAGGATCATTCAAATTTATACATGGTCATGGAATATATCCAAGGTGGTGAGATGTTCTCACATCTGAGACGGATTGGAAGATTCAGGTAAACAGCTTGAAAACTAGCTAATAAAATGTCCTTCTTATGTGCCTTTACCTGTCTTTTTCTCTTATAAATGCAATAAGCATGTTTTTTCCTCATAGTGAGCAGAACGCACGGTTCTATGCTGCTCAGATTGTTCTGACCTTCGAGTATCTTCATGCTCTAGACCTCATCTACAGAGACCTTAAACCTGAAAACTTGCTCATCGATCATCAGGGATACATCCAGGTGTGCCAGTCACTTATTACCTCCGATTAAATGTTTCCTGCACTTTGGTTGTGTAATTTATATTTTAATGAGCTTTTATTTATAACTCTTATATTTGAATGTGATTTAGGTAACAGACTTCGGCTTTGCCAAACGAGTCAAAGGCAGAACTTGGACGTTGTGCGGTACACCAGAGTACCTGGCTCCAGAGATCATTCTCAGCAAGGTAAGAAAACACAGTAGTTCTTACTCCTCTAGAAGTTAAAGAAATCCTCAATGTTTTCTCTCTTTCTTTGTTAGGGCTACAACAAAGCTGTTGACTGGTGGGCATTGGGTGTTCTGATCTACGAAATGGCTGCTGGATATCCACCTTTCTTCGCTGATCAACCTATTCAGATCTATGAGAAAATTGTATCTGGCAAGGTCAGAAGAACTTCAGTCATTTATTACAGTACCAGTAAAATTCCCTCTTGGTGTTGGCCCTACTGTATATCTATACTATATCCCTATTTCTTTAACCATTTATTTTTACACAAATTATTTTGCTCCATCAGTACAATACAGTACAATAGATAAAGTGCAAGTCCTCTATCCATAATATTGCTTTTTCCAGCGAAAAAGTCATCTCATCTGAATCAGGAGAGAAATATGCACAGATCTGTTGCTGTTTACAAGTGGAAACAATCCAAAACTGTTGTAACAAATATGTTGGTGGTTTTGATGTGAGAGGACAACAGGGGATGGACTTCTTTTCTGAGGAAGTGTGGATATGGATTATGGACTTGAGTTTTACTAATGTATTTTTACATTTAATTTTACATTTAATTTATTTATTTATTTTATACATAATGGAAAATATGATGCAAAATATGATTATTTTTAAAATAACATGTCTTTATAGTAAGTAATAGTGTGTGTGTGTGTGTGTGTGTGTGTGTGTGTGTGTGTGCGCGTTTTTGTGACAAATGAGGACATACATTTGTATAATGACAAGGGTATGACATAGGTATTACAAGGAGAAGGTGACTTTTCAGGACATTACCCCATGTCCCCACTTTTCAAAACGCTTATAAATCACACAGAATGGAGTGTATTGAAAATCTGAAATAGCACAAAGTTTCCTGTAAG